AGATGACGGCGAGATTCAAGTAAGTTCGCTGATCTACGCAATGGGCAGTGAAGCTGAAAAGATATTCAGTTCATTCGAGTTTGACGAGGAAGATGAAAAGAAAGACTTTGAAGTGGTCATGAAAAAGTTTGACGACTACTTTATTCCACGACGCAACATCATACACGAGCGTGCATGTTTCTATCAACGGAGCCAGCAATCCGGGGAAACGGCGGAGATGTACATCAGGACATTATATGAGTTAGCAGAGCACTGCCAGTTCGGGACTACAAGGGATGAACATATAAGGGATCGTCTTGTGGTAGGAATAGCAGACAAAGAACTTTCCCGCCAGTTTCAGCTCAAAGCAGATCTAACGTTGACGCACGTGATTGAACGGGTGCGCCAGACAGAGGCGATAACGCGTCAGGTTAATCTTCAGACCAGTCGACCGGAAGCTCAGCTGGCCAACGTTAATGCGGTCAAAGGGAAGGATTGGCAATATAAGAAAAAGAGTCAGCGACGTGGGAATAGCAGCCAGGCAACCAACACAAAGGATGAGTGTGGGAGGTGCGGTAAGCCACAACACTCTAATGAAAGAAATTGTCCTGCGTTGAAAAGCAAGTGTAATAAATGTCACAAGGAAGGACATTGGGAACGTAAATGTCGTTCTAAAGCAGTGAGAGAAGTCACAAGTGAACAACCTGGACTAACATACTTCCTAGGAGCAGTTGACAGGGAGGATAATGAGAATACATGGACTGTTTGCTTACCTGTAAACAAGGTGGGTGTAACCTTTAAAATTGACACAGGAGCGGACGCTACCATTATTGATGAGGGGACATTCAAAAAGATGAGTCCTAAAATAAAGCTCGAGCCACCTGTCACTCGTTTTGTTAGCCCAGGGGGCGATCTCAGTTGCATGGGCATGTTCCAGAGTTTCACAAGCTATAAAGGGAGGAAGTACCCTCTGAAAGTGTATGTGACTGAAGGAAAAAGCTGCTTACTGGGCCGTGAGGAAGCAGTGGAAATGGGTCTAGTCAAGAGGATGAATGAGGTCAGTAGCGTGTTTGGATCTAGCGGGTTATTGAAAACTGAGCCAGTCAGAATAGCCCTGCTCGATGATGTCCAACCATACGCAGTGCCGACAGCCAGGCGGATACCCCTGCCACTGGTACCGCTGGTAAAAAAGGAACTGCATCGCATGGAGGAGGAGGGCATAATCGAAAAGGTAACACAGCCAACAGAATGGTGTGCCGCGATGGTGCCGGTACTCAAACCCAACAAAAGGGAAGTCCGCCTTTGTGCAGACCTCAGGAAACTGAACAAAGCAGTGAAACGGGAGAAGTATGTTCTGCCAACGGTGGAGGAAATAATGCCAAAGCTCGCCGGGTCAAAAGTATTCACCTCGCTGGATGCAGCAAGTGGATTTTATCAGATCCCCCTGCATGAGGAGAGCAGGTTGCTCACCACTTTCATCACTCCATTTGGGAGATACGCCTTCCGCCGTCTCCCTTTCGGGATAACAAGTGCTCCTGAAATTTTCCAGAGGAAAATGGCGGAGACTCTGGCCGGCTTAGAAGGGACTGAGATCTTTATGGATGACATTTTAATTCACGCAGAGACAGAGGAGCAACATGACCGACGCCTGGCTGAGGTGTTGAGGGTCATTGAAGCAGCAGGGCTCAAGTTGAACCAGGCAAAGTGCAAGTTCAGACAGAGGCAGGTTCGTTTCCTGGGTCACTTAATCGACGAGGCGGGCGTCAGAGCCGACCCCAACAAAGTCACAGGAATACGGAACTTTCCACAGCCACAAAACGTCACAGAACTCAAAAGGTTCTTGGGGATGGTTAATTATTTAGCCAAGTTCATTCCAGAGCTATCAACAGTGGCTCACCCACTGTACGAGTTACTGAAAGGAGACAAAGAGTGGATGTGGGGACCTGCACAGTGTGAGGCGTTCAGGAGCTTAAAGACTGCATTAGCCACAGCTCCAGTACTTACCTTCTACGATGCCAACAAGCCCACTATAGTGTCAGCAGATGCCAGCAGCTATGGGCTGGGCGGCGTTCTACTCCAGCAGCACGGGGATCACTGGAAGCCTGTGGCCTACTGCTCCAGACGGTTAAGTGACGCGGAGAAAAGATACGCGCAAATAGAGAAGGAGTGCTTAGCAAGTGTGTGGTCCTGTGAACGGTTTGACAAATACCTATATGGACTGGACGGCTTTAGACTGGTTACTGATCACAAGCCGTTGGTGCCTCTCATGAACAGTAAAGACTTAGACTGTGTCCCAATTAGGTGCCAGAGGCTATTGATGAGACTAATGCGTTTCAATGCTACGGCTGAGCATGCACCAGGCAAAACATTAGCGGTGGCAGATGCGCTCTCTAGAAGCCCAGAGCAATGTTTGGGGGATGGGGTCTGTCACGAGGAGGTGGCCGCACATATCGAGGCTGTCATGAGCCAGGTCCCGGCCACACCACACCGGATGGCGGAGCTTAGACAGTACACAGAATATGATAGACAGCTCCAGACAGTCATAGGCTTCATCAGGAATGGGTGGCCTGATTATATAGGAAAGGTGCCTGAGGTAGTCAAAGACTTCTACCAAATGAGAGGAGAACTATCTGAGATAGATGGTTTGGTCATTAGAGGCAACCGCATTGTCATTCCCACAGAAAAAAGGAAGGCCATCCTGGAGAGAATCCATGACGGACATCAAGGCCTGGTAAAGTGCAGAGAAAGAGCTCACCAATCCGTATGGTGGCCTGGAATGTCTGGGGAGATTGAAAAAACTGTACAGGAGTGTGCGTTTTGCAGAGAGAACAGAAACACACAGAATAAGGAGCCGTTAATGCCCAGCGAACTCCCATCTAGGCCATGGCAGAAAGTTGGGGTAGATCTGTGCGAGTTTAAGAAGCAAAACTACTTAATAGTATCAGATTATTACTCTAGATATCTGGAGATTTTGAATCTGCCTACAACTACCACCAGCCAGGTTGTAGCTAAGCTGAAAGCCACATTCGCACGTTTTGGCATCCCTGAAGTAATGGTGAGCGACAATGGGCCCAGCTATCTTCAGAAGAGATGAGGGAGTTTAGTGAGGAATATGATTTTGTTCACATTACATCCAGCCCTCACTACCCTCAAAGTAACGGACAGGCAGAGCGGGCCGTTCAGGTAGCGAAATCTATACTGAGACAGAAGGACCCCCTCCTGGCCCTGATGGCATACCGAGCCACACCCACCTCTTCGACAGGAGTCAGTCCAGCAGAACTGCTGATGGGCAGGAAAATCAGGACCACCTTGCCCACCTTGCAGGACAATCTGAAACCAAACTGGCCGAATGAAGAGGTGATCAGACAGGCTGACGCTGCAGCCAAGCAAAAGCAAGCTTATTACTATAACCGCAGGAATGGAGTAAGGGTTCTACCCCCACTGAGCCTAGGGGACCCGGTGCTAACAAAGTTGGATGGACAAAAACAGTGGACAATGCCTGCTGTCGTTCACAGTTCCAGCTCTACTCCAAGGTCCTATATCGTGGAGACAGCACAGGGACAGCGCTACAGGAGGAACCGACGACACCTGCAATCCACACCCAAACCGATCACAACTGTCAGTGAAAGCCCTGACCAAGTTGCCCCTGAGGTCAGGAAAACTGAGGACACGCACGGTACTGAGACACAAAACACTTCCACACCCACACAAGGGACTGTAACCATCACTCGCTCAGGGAGAGTGAGCAAAGCCCCAGACAAACTGGACTGGTGATTATGGGCTCTTGATTGAATAGACCTGAAAAAAAAAAAAAAAAAAAATGGTCGATTTGTTGTGGATTTATAGTATGTTTCAGGAAATGCACTTTATTGTTTGAAAAAAAAAAGTGTGAAAAAAATGGTTCTGTTCATTAGCCTTCATTGGGGTTAGAAGTTAACAAGACAGTTTAGTCTTATAAGAAACATTGTTAATATACTGAAAGTGTTTATTGCTTATAATAACAGTTCATGTTAACTAAGAAGAGCAATATCTTTGAGGGGGGAGATGTAATGACAGGTGTTGACCTAGAGGTGTCAGTGTTCTAGCGGGGATCATAGAGGGCCGAAGAAGAGACATACGGGAAGTGTTGGGTTGTTGTTGTGAAGCCAACTTGTGAATAAACTGGACACAGAGAGAACTCACGCGTTGTCGTTGTCTTCTCAGTATTAAATGACTGTAAGTAATATCAACAG